CATTCATATTTGTGATTCAAATACATCTTTTCATACTCCTAATAAGCTGAATGTGCTCATAGGCTTCAATAGCCTTATATACATTATGTATTTATATTTTTATTAAATCATAGTTTATCTATTCATCAAGTCAAATATTCTAAAATTGTATTATTGTATATCATCATATTATATTGTATATATGTATCTTATTTGTATAATTATATATATCTATGATATTTCCCTTTATACAACACATATAAAATTTAAGAAAAATCTGTTCTGCTTACTTTCATTTATGAGAATCGCAGAGAATGGTAGCATTTACATAAATATTATCGTTTACTTCACAGCACTTCATTTAGGTAACTCTGACTGATTTTGATGATATATTATTCAATATTAAATAAATTAAATTAATATAAATTTGTAAACCATCCAATAATTTCATTTATTTATTTATATTCTCATGTTAAAGTTAAGGAATTCCACCTGATTGAAGGCTTGATTGACTGACTCAATTTGTCCACATTTATTCATTCATTCTGCTTCCAAGCATATTCACTTAAAAATATATGTAGAATGTCATTTAAGGGCGCCCAGGGGAGAGAAGCCCAGCTTGGCTTGGTCAGCAACCACAAAAGTTGTTTTGCAGCTTATGCATGAAAGTTTTCCGCTCATTATGAGAATATTAAATTTCCAAGGCTTTCCGCAGGACGCAGCGGCTTTAATTGCGGGGCGGAGCATGTGAAGACTTAAAAGTCGCCTTTTATGCGGTTTGCCGTCAAAGCGAAACTCAATTAAGCGACAGCTTCCCCATTTTGATTTAAAAGTGCTGATACGGCAGCGGCAGCAACAAGGACAACAACAAGGACATCAATGGCAAGTCCTTTGTCGGGGGGTTGCCAGCCAACGATCGAAATGCCTATTCAAAGGCATTTTTAATTGAAATTATCTGATGCTACCTTTTGAGCCTCGAGTCAAAAATTTTACGTTTTTCAGCTCTGTTGCGCCGCAAAGCTTGAAACTGATTCCCAATCTGATTCTGATTGATAGATATACATATATATGTGTGAGTATATATATGTGTATATTTGTATGTTTTATATGTATGTGTAGCTATCTGACTTGTTTACAACTTTTGTACGCTAATAGCACGTCTTAACTCAGCCAAGGATATGCCATAAATCCATGTTAATAACACGCGTTCCCCCCCTTTTAAATACCCGTTCATTAAGTGAAGAGAGCATATTGGTTTCTTCAGTTTATGCTCGCATCTGACTAGAAGAAAGGAGACTCCCATAAAGTACTGTGACTGCTACTGTATTCTACTACCCCTGCTATATATAGCTGCTACAATAATCTACTACTACTCCTATATTCTACTACTACTACTACTATATATAGCTGCTACAATAATCTACTACTACTCCTATATTCTACTACTACTACTACTATATATAGCTGCTACAATAATCTACTACTACTCCCATATTCTACTACTACTACTACTATATATAGCTGCTACAATAATCTACTACTACTCCTATATTCTACTACTACTACTACTATATATAGCTGCTACTATAATCTACTACTACTCCTATATTGTACTACTATATATAGCTGCTACTATATTCTCCAACTACTCCTATATTCTACTACTACTACTACTATATATAGCTGCTACTAAACTATATTACTATAAATATATTACTACTTCAATATTCTACTACTACTACTATATATATCTGCTATTATTTTCTACTACTACTCCTATATTCTAATGCTATTTCTATATTTGGCTGCTCTACATTCTAATATTACTACTACTAAATTCTACTACTTATATAATATACTCTACTACTTACTTATATTCTACTATTATTATGTTTAAGTACTTCTACTATATTTGACTTGTACGCTACTACTATATTCTACTACTATATTCTACAGCTACTATTTCATGGCTTTCTTACCATCTTATCCCTTTCCCAACTTTGAACGAGTATTCAACGGCCTTGCACAGCCGACTGCAGCGTTCGCTCTTGTTTTTTGCTGAGGCAGGCGACATTTATTCCTTCAAAGACATTTAAGTAGATTAAGCGACTGGCTCGTCGTTGTCCTTCTCCGCCTGCGAACCCAAATGAACGTCGACAGTAAAGACAATTCACCAGGCACGCCCGGTGCAAAAGGACTTGAGCACGACGACGACAGCAGCGCATATAAAGCCTGCAATGTGCCCGAGCACTCTAAAGCGCAAGAAGGGGGCGAGGAGGCGATTCTTTCAAATATGCAAATAGCTCTCGAGCTTGCCAGCGTGGGCGTGGCTGGATGGGCGTTGCAGCAGCAAACAATGAAAGTAAATGCCAAAACATTTTATTGATTATCAGGCAGAGCGTAAGCCGAGACGACGACAACCAGGCACAGTGGTACAATAGTCATATAAAAAGCATAAAAACAATGAAGTTCCCACTTCTATAGTAACTATAGACTATAGCGCTGATGTATTCCGAAACATAAAGGCAAATATACGAGCAAACCTGCAATCATTTATATAAAAGTACTATATTATATATGGGTACCCCATGTATATACAATATGAATAGTGTACTAAACTGTAGATAGGGGCTATACCTATTATATGCGGGCTGTAACTGTCTATATATAGGAAATGCACTTCATGTGCCTGACACTATATACTTACTCACTATATATTGGTACTACATAACATAACATAACATATAGGAACTTTGTTTGCACTGTGTAACATATACATTGGTACTTTATATGTATGTAGGTGTTATATATAGGTAATATATATATCACTATAATACTACTACACGATTCTTATTATTAATTTTTTCCCTCTCACTCATTTAATTTGCTTGCCATCTAAATCAGTTTTGTCCCACTGTGCCTTCGCTGAGTCGCTGTTGTTGCTACTTCAGTTGCCATTACGCGGCGCCGGCAAGTGTGCTACACTTTTTGCGCTGTCTAACAGCAAGTGGAGAGCTGAATCTGGAGTTTTGGATGCTCTGAGTGTGTCTCTGTGTGTGTGTGTGTGTGTGTGTGTGTGTGTGTGTGGGTAAGAGCATTGAGCATTTTAATAACCGCAGCGAAGCGCAGAATTGGAAGTAGAAACGAGTGCCATAAATTATGCCACCCACCGGCTCGAGCATTGACAGTCGACGGTCGACAGTCGCCGTATCCTGCGTCCTGCGTCCTGTGTCCTGTGTCCTGGCCGCCCGTCGAGCGATTTGTAATACACAACTGGCAGAGCCTCAAACCTGATGATCTCTCACTCTCTGTCCCACTCTCTTCCTCTCTCACACTCTCTCCATCTAGATTGCTCTTTTTAGCCGGAGGTTTTGGAGGAGGCACGCACAGTGGGCGTTCCAGGCTGCCGCCCCGTTTGATGCGTTTGATATATGGTTGAAATTGAAAACTTTGCAGCTATTTCGCTCTTTCGCTTTTTCGCTGGCCGCCAGGACAATGCGCATCAATTTATATTGTGTAGCACTTGGCTGGCCAATGCGGCGTCATAATGCAATTGTATAATTTTCTTAAAAGCCTCACACACTCCGGCTTGAAGGACATGGGTCGCAGGTCCTTTGAGTGCATCCGAGAGAGATCAGAAAAGGCATTAGAGAAATTAAAAACATTGCCAAATGGACAATGAACCCCATTTGGTCAGTTCGAATAAGCACAAAAAATAACACTCAGCCAGAGGACATTTGAGGACATTTAGGACATTTTAGTTAATTGAAACAAGGCGCAAATGCAAATGCAAATACAAACTAAAGCAGAGCCAACGAAAATCCTTGCCAGCGCGCCGCAGTCACGTCTCGCTGCTGGGCTTAGGCGCTTAAGCTGCGACCACCTGTGGCGCCGCACGCTGCTCTGGGGCGTCGAGCGCTCTGCCTCACGTCTCAGGTGCAAATGAAGATTTATAAAATTCGCAAATTGATTCAACGTGCAAGTGTTTTTTAATTTGCCCACCAAGAAGTTCACATAATCAAATTTTGATGCGTCCTCTGGGGACACAGCTCACACCTCACACACACACACACACACACACACACACACACACACACACACACAGAGTGAGAGAGAGCGAGGCAAGGGTCTGCGGTCGTCTCGATTTCACCCCTGAGACTGAGACTCTGACTGAGCACCGGCAGCACTCTGTAATTGAGGGTTAAACTAGCGTATGCCCATCAACAGGTAATTGCCGTTCAGATTGCGATTTTTATGACAACTTGTGGCTTGTTAGCGCCGCATAATTCATGAGCTACATAAGTATGTCTACACCTCTCCGTCTGTCTCACTCACTCTCCCTTACTCTCCATCTCTTTTCAGCTCCCCTTACTATGTGGAAACTTTAACACATCTACTGTCATTAAATCAGCAGCAATTTTATTTCTCTTTGCTAGAAATTGATCTGAAGAAACTTCGGGTCAAGGCAAGCTTTTCTTGTATTGTAATATCCTAACTGAATAAGCGAATTTCAATGCCTCCAACTCTTTGGCTATTTCATGGTATCATTGATGATGGGCGTGATATAAAAGCTAATCAATTGACCTATGACTAAGGAACAATTTCAAGAAAAGTCAAGCAGACGAATATGTTCACATAAATAAAAATATCTATGCTTATGATATCTATACATATCTCAGTCTTTTCGAGTTGTTGTTAAATTTGACATCCAATAAACTCATATCATCGAACATAATTATATGCAATCACATATTTTGTGTATAGCTTATAAATTTATTATCAAACTTTTACATGAATCCCAATAGAAAAATCTCATTCAGGAATTTGTCGCCCTTTTTTTTTTTTTTTTTTTGTGTTTTTGGCAAGTTGGGCGCCACATTAAAAGGATTTGCCTTGGCACGTGCTCGCTCACTTAAAGCGCTTTCAAGGAGGCGAAAAAAAATTGCGTAACTGATCCTTTGGCATATCCTTGAAGTGCCAATTGAAACGAGAGCAAAAGAAATTAGCATTTATTTTCAAAGTGCGTGTTTATTTAGCTATTTATTCAATTTTAATTTCAATTTTTCTCTCACTCTCTCTCTATCTCACTCTCTCTTGCACTTGGCTGGCAATCAGTCATGCCTGAGCAGCAAATAGATGCGATTACATTTAATTGAATTCAGAAGCAATGGCAAAAAAAGAAAAGAAAAATTGTATTAAATTACCAAAACGAAAAGCAAAAAAATATAATCCAAAAGAAAAGAAAAACGTGACACTACGAAATGTTCGCGTATTCAAATTTCTCTAGCGCTAAGTCCCTGAAATTGCCAAGACAATTGGGGTAGAAATGCTTTCATTGTTGCGTCTCCTTATAGACAACTGTGTAATGTGAATATAGTCAATAGTAATGATAAGCCTTTAATAGAATATGATTTACATAAATTGAACAGGATTCTAGAAAAATTATGGTTGGGTATTTTGATTGCTTATATAAAGCATTTGATATAAAATGTGGACAAATAAAAACATTTTGTTAGATGGCATTTCGAATCTAAAATAATTTTTTCAATTATGATAAAAAGAAATATATGAAAATATTTTGAAGCACGGATATGTAATTTCCAAAAAACGTAGTAAAGAAAAATATT